GGAGAAAGTCAATGAAACATAAGCGTTCTCACGGGCTTCGCCCTCACCGCTTTGCGGTCTATCTAACTTCTTTCTTATCTCATCTATACGCTTCAAAATGTCTGAACAATTGCTAACATCTTCTACAACAGTTATTTCATCATGAATGACCTTCAAGAACAAGCTCATTTAATATGCAATTAAAATCATCTCAATAATGAGTCCATCCTTTCCGTCTTTGGTAGCACAACATCTTTCCTTGAAGAAGGTTCGACAAGTCTTATATTAAACTTACTGACAAAGTTTGTTATACTATAATGCTTCGGCGGCGAATACATATAGTTTGAAAAACATAATATAGATTCTTCAGCAAATTCACTTATACTGGATTTTATAACAATGTTCTCACGAGACCAAATACCACCAATTGACAATCTTGTAAGCAATCCTGCTGAACCTTCAACTGTAAACGTCGATGGTAACATTCCACGAAGGTCATCTATTGACATCTTTGAGTCACTGAATTTAAATATTTTCTTAAAGCAATCGTCATTATATAACCATGCAATAGCTTTGAAGTTTTCATTCGAATATACATCTGCTTCATTAAATGTAAAACCTGACTTCTTTGCAGAGACGACTTTAAAATCTATTGTGTTTGTTTCAAAATTATATGCTATGCTAACTTCTGAAGGTAATGGATGTCCTTCCGCAGTAAGTTGTTCTCTCACTACCGTTTGAAGCTTTGTGTTAAAAACTTTCATGTCATCTCCTGTGTCTAGGTTCACATACACAGCAACAGGAAAACTATCTTGCTTCTTTGTTTCATCATTATACCTCAAAACATTAAAGTTCTTCAATAATATTGTTCTTCCTGCTGGAATACTTCTAACTTGTCTTATTTCAATAGCTTTCTCACCTCCTACATACTCTACCCAGTGTCTTGGATATTCATAAGTATACTGACTATCTTGAATTTTGGTAGGTTTCATCATAACGTGTTCATAGTATATCTTTATACTCTTGTCAGTTAGACTCGGTGCTATGTTCTGAATATTTCTGACTTGCATTTTTAATGGAGATAAAATGAAGCATTTAATACATGACGTAGATGAAGACATGAATGAAAGCAGTGAAAAGCTCAACAGTTCTCTCATTCTTCCTTTCAGTAAGGACTATGAGTTCTGTTCAAATGGTGTTTATTTCTATTGTGGAAAGATGGGTTCAGGTAAGACATTTAACCTCATTCGTCATATACTCATAACAGAGCGTTTAGGAAACGACTCTTACTATGACCAAATCATTATATCAGCAACTTCAGACTCTATGGACTCAACAGCGAAAACATTTATGTCAAAAGTTCAAGCCTCTGTCGTTAAAGTTCCAGACAGTGAACTCATTGAATTTCTTCAACGTTACATTCGACGTAAGAGAAAATATTATGCCATCGTAGAGTTCATACAGTCAGGAATGCAAAAGACTTCTGAGGAGATGGAAAGAATTATTGACAAACACCACTTACGTCAATACTCAGGAGTTTACGATATGAAACGACTTACAAACTACATTCTATCAAAACTTTCAAAATACCCCTTCAAAAAGTATCCTTCAAACACTCTGCTCGTTTGTGACGACTTCGCTGGAAAAGGTTTAGTGTCAAAGCCTGACTCACCATTAGCTAACATCATAACTAAAGTCAGACATTACCACTTAACTGTAGCAATACTTATGCAAACATGGCGTTTTCTTGCTTTAAACATAAAACGTCTCATAACTGACTTCGTTATCTTTCAAGGTTTCTCACGTTATGATATTGAACTCATTTGGGAACAGTCAGGTATAACATTACCTTTTGAAGAAATTTGGGAAGCATATAAGTCTCTCATCTCTCCTCGTTCATACCTTGAGATTCATATCATGACTAATACCATTAAAGTCAAAAATATTCCATGGGAACGACCAACATTGTTTTAAAGCTTAACCTTCAATTGACTGATGGTAAACAAATTCCATGCATCTCTGTCGCCATTTCTGTTAATATTTTTGCTGTCATTCATATCATCCACTTCCCCATCCGTTAGCTTTTGAGGATATGCGTTAGAATAGCTGTTCTTAAATGAAGGCTTTTCACCTTTGAGAGCATAAACTCTATAACTTTCTGCATACTTTATGTTTGAACCTCCTGAGCCATCATTGACATAAATTTTTATAGGCTTCCACCCTTTGTTCATGTTCCTGCTTTTTCCCTTAGCTCTTTTGTTCAGTAGTTCTACATCTTTATACACAGCTCCTGTCTCAGTGAATTCAACAATATTTTCATTCGTTAGCTTTACATTCAAACCCTTGTCGAGTATATTGTTCATTTCATACATATAAAAGGTTTTTATTCTATATGAAATGAGAAGCAAATCCATCTTAGCTGGTGCCGTTAATGTTCCAATTGAACCAACATCAAATGTTGACTCACGAACGACAAACAATATTGTCATAAAGAACTATAGTTCAGAGTGTTTGAAAGAAAAAGAACCAGAACTTAAGTCGGTGAATTTAAACTCAGCTTCAGACGCTAACGCTACATCAGATGTTAAGTTAGAGTATCCACCACTGGACCAAATTCTTTCAAGAGAAGCCAACGACAACCCTTACACAAATGTTCAAACAAATTCTTCAGATAACGTAGACCATTACCTTCTTCAGTTATACCAAACAATTTTACTCAAAGACGATAAGAAGCTTTTGACAAATCTTATAAGCAAGAACCAAATAATTCTAACAAAGGTGGACCTTGAAAATGTTATATCACGAATAACATGGAAACAATATGTCATTGACTATCTCGACCCTGAAATCGAATGCTGTGGTCAAACTCCACTATTCATGAAAATAGGTAACATCCGCATCATTGAAACACCAGGTACTCCAGGAGTTGAGTTTAAGTATAAATATTCGAACGAGTATACAAAACTATCTACTGACTATAAGCTTTGTTTGAAATATGTTTTAGTAAATTAAAGCAATTTGTAATATCTATCCAAAACTTCTTCAACAGTATCGAACTCATCTTCATAATGCAAACTTAATCTTATTGACTTGGTGCAGTTTTCACTAACACAATATTTTTCTGTTCTCTTGACTGACATAACTAACTCATTTGTTTCATCAAACAGCAACAACCAAAGTTCATGACCTAATACATAACATTCATACTTTATATTTTTAGCTCTGAGTTCTCTTGTAAGCTGTTGCATTTAATATTTTCTAAAAAGTCAACTTCAACAGTCATTCGCACTGGTGCCTTCAGTTCTACAGGCTCTCCTTGAAAGTCAACAAGTCTGAATTGCATGTCTTTCAAATTATGAGGACTAATGCGAACCCATTTACCTAAATGAGTTGCTATGACAGGAACGTTTGGAATGAACATTGAATTTACTACATAACAGAAGGATTTATATTCTACTGAACCTTTACTATTAACTCCTGAAATACCTGTGACATTAGCTATTTTTGACTCAATGTACAAACAGTTGCCATAACATACGTATGGAACAGATTTCATCTCAATCGTTTTGTCAACACTTTTCAAAGGAAATGTCATATGGTATGCACCCAAAAGAAGTTGTACTCTATGACTCATTCGTGTTATCTTAAACTCCTTCGCATAACTGAACTTCAAAACTCCTGCAATAAGTTTAACATTCATTAAGTTTTCTTCGTTATCCTTGTTTATTGTAGTATTTATGAGAGCATTTAACATCCAGCTAATGTTTCCATCTTATATTCTACATTATTGTGAAATCTTATTTCGTGCTTCTTTCCATCTATTTCAATCTCCATGAAATCTGTTTCATCAGTTATAACGAATGAAGCGATAGTATTGAAGTCAACCATTCTGAATGCAAGCGCCTCATTCTGTAGACCTAAGTTTGTTTGTAGCTTTACTGTCCCGTATTCGTTTGGGTCTGTACTTTGCAAATAGAACAACATTTTATTCTCATTAAAATATGAGTATAGCTGCATATGCGTATGAAGCTGACAGAGCTAAACGTTTATATTTTGATCAATACTCTCTCACACTTACTGACAAATATATTGTTATCAGTGATGGAAATACCGAGAAATACATAACATGGAAGGACTATGAAAAGTTTGACCCCATTTTAACTCCATGCACTATGCCATTCATTGTAAATGGTGAAGTTGTCATGAAGAACGACACAACAGTATATAAGTCTGTATATGAAGCGTTAGAATATATGTTGAATTATAATCCCGAAAGATTTGACCCAAGCACTACACCATGTGCAATGCCTTTTATTAAGGACGGTGAAATCGTAAGAGTTCCGAATTCAACGGTTTACACAGCTGTTCAAAACAGTTTACAAAACATTTTAGCGAATATCTTTAATTCAGAAACTACAGAAATAAAATTACCATATATAACAGATGCTAAAGAAATTAAATCAAAAACAACAACATTATTTACGTCACTTAATGATTTAATGACTTATATCATTAATATTCCTGCACCAACTACAGCATTTGATCCAAACTCGACGGTTTGTAGTGTACCTTTCATTAATGACAGTTCAGTAATTGTTTTAAGGGATTCGACAGTAAATGAATCATTAAAGGCGTCATTAATGAAAATCATTGATTTTAATTCATTCACGAATACATATAATTCATTCATTAATGTTTCATATGCTTCTAAAGAAGGTGAGCCAAAAACTATCAATAAAGCGGTGTATGAAATAAAAGCATCAACGACGAAATTGAATTCGTTAACTTTTGACGGTGATAGTTTCGTTAATGACATAACATCGAGGAAAACAATTTTAACGAAAGAATACTTAAAATCTCATGTTAGTGAGTTCGTTGAAATTGAAAAAGAAGGTGGAATTAAGTTCGATCCACTGAATTTCATTTTCAGCTTAGCGAATGCGGGTATTAATTTTGCTGAATGGACAACTATACAGAGTGAAATAAATGCAATATGGACGTTTTTGGGGTCAAAAGCGGGAATGGGTGAGCTTGTAAATGCTGCAAGAACATTAGGTGAAACAGGAAATTTTGTAGATGGTTTTAAAAGACTTGTTTCAAATGTTTTAACAAACACAAAGAAATTATTTAGATATACCGTACATAACAGACGGATTTTCGAACAGATAGCAACAAACCCTCCGGTTATGGCTGCGTTGATGATGGTTAGAGATATAAAACCACGTAACGACGGGAACGAAGAACATGAACAACAGGATACTGGTCGGGTTATTCGAGACATTAAAAACGTGTATCCTGAAGTTATTGATTTATTTAGAGGTGTTAATGATTCGATTTCAAATCATTCTATAACCCTCGATGAAGAGAATAAATTAACAGATTATATATTCGTCATTATTGCAGAATTAATGAAGAGAATAAATGAAAAAGGAATTGGTGATATCATTAATGTCAGCGATGTAATGATGAAAAGAAATTTTGACTCATTATTTACAAAACCGAAAACAGAATATAGTCTTTATGACGTAATTACCGAATTAATGAAAAAGATTAATGATAATAAGAGTTCTGGCGGAAGAGTTGAATTAGAAGTGAATGATGTTAATGAGAAATTAGCCGAAAAAGCAAACAAAAATGAGCTTTTAGCTCTGAGTGATAAAGTCAAGAACCACGTTCATTATATAACTTCAGACGAACAGATTATAACGGACTACCATGGATATTTAACACAGGATGAACAAATAAGCACTGAAGATGTTAATGAAAGAAGATATAAATTCATTCGTGCTAAAGGTTATGACATACACTGTACTGTACAGTATGACACAGGTAAAGCACCAGAAGCATTTGGTTATAACGATGAAATTTATGCTTCATACTTCTTTGTTAACGGTGTATTAGTTGAACCAAGATTTACTTTGAGAGTTAAGTCAAAAATAACTTTTGAAGATGCTATTAAAAGTAAAGCTGACAAAGTTGAACTCGAAGCAACGAATAAAGTTTTGAAATCTCATAAACACAACATCTCCGATATAAATGAACTTCAAGCTACATTAGACAGTAAAGCTGACAAGAACCATACACATAAATCCTTCACTACTGTTAGAGCAGACGACATAATATTGAACTATACCCTTGGTTCAAGTGCACCTTTAGAGAATCCGAGTACAAGCGTAAAAGATACACTAAACTCCTTAAATAACAAATGTATGAATATCGAAGGTCATGTCAGAAACTTTGAAACACATGAACTACCAGCAATGTTAGACAGTAAAGCAGATAAAGAACATACACATAAATCCTTCACTACTGTTAGAGCAGACGACATAATATTGAACTTTGATCTTGGTTCAAGTGCACCATTAGAAAATCCAAGTACAAGCGTAAAAGATACACTAAACTCCTTAAATGGTAAATGTATGAATATCGAAGGTCATGCCATAAACTTTGAAACATATGAACTACCAGCAATGTTAGATAAGAAAGCTAACAAAACAGAGCTTCAAACATTAAAGACGGAAATACTTCAAACATTATATCCTGTTGGTTCTTTATATACATCAATGAACTCAACAAATCCAGCAAGTGTTTTAGGTTTTGGTGAATGGAAGCAGATTGTAGACAAATTCTTATACTGTGCTAACTCTTCAAAGCAAACAGGAGGTTCGAAGAAAATTAAAGAAGCAAACCTTCCACCGCACACTCATACAGGAACTACAAACACAACAGGTAATCATTCACATTCAATAACAAAAAGAGGTTATATAAATCTTGCAGCGGGTTCGGATAGATGGGGAATGAATAGATATGATATCACAACTGACCCAGTAGATTCAAGCACAGGTATTTTCTGTGGAACCGCAGGAAATCATTCACACACTTTCACAACAAAGCCAACAGGCTCGGGTAAAGATTACATGCCACCATTTGTGACTGTATTCGCATGGTACCGCGTTCATTGAACGCGCTTGAGCCTAGAATAAAATCTTTAACTTTACATAAATGAGCTTGAAGGAAGTATTCGAATCATCACCGTGGAGGTCATTTAAGAAGTTCAATGAAGCTGCAAAGAGTTGGGGATTTACTAACAGAGCTGAAGTGAAAAGGTTCTTTGACAAAAATGTTGTACATCAAACAAAAATAAACCCTTACGACTACTTTTTACCAATTTACTCCAACACTCCTGACGCATACCAATTTGACACTCTCATTCAAAGCAGAAAAGGAGGACATAAACCATTCCTCATCTTCATTAATGTTAACACTCGCAAAGCTTTTGCGTATATAATGAAAAATAAAGGAACTCATGAAGTGTTAAGAGTTTTACAAAAGTTTGTAGCAGAACATAGCCCAAGTACTTTAACATCAGACCAAGACAGTGCATACCTCAGCAATGAAATCACAGAATTTCTCATTAAGCATAACATAACTCACTACACTACTGAAGACCATAACCATAACATACTCGGCATCATAAACCGCTTCATAAGGACTCTCAGAGATTTAAATCAAGAGCGAGACTTTACCGAAGAAACAATGAAACATTTTCTCGAAGTATATAATTCCTCAACGCATTCTACAACAGGACATACACCAAATTCAATGACACAACAACAAGAAGAAAAGTATATACAAAAGAAACGAAGTCAAACACAAAATATCAGAAATTCAACACAATTTACCCTCATTCCTGGTACAAAAGTTCGTGTAGTTCTTGACGACAAACCGTTGACAAAGAAACGTTTAAGGTTAAGTCGAAACTATTATATAGTAGATTCAACGCAAGGTAATGGATATCTTATAAAAGCTGCTGACGATTCGATTGCGTTTTACCCTCTTCATAAGTTAGTCGAAAGTAGTAATGGCAAACTTGCTGAAACCATTGACGAAGCAAAGCGAGGAGTGGTTATTGAAATACTTGGCTATAACATAAACGATGACACTTATAAAGTAAGATATGAAGGAGGCGTTGAAGATGTTATACCATCTAAGAACTTGAGAGAGTCGAAGCCAACACATCTGGGTCCATTAGAGCGGGAGTACTGGAAAGATAAAAACATGCCAGAAAGAATACGAAAATTCTTCTAAACTTTTTCATTAGATGTAAATCAGACAAAAATATATTTTAGGTCAAGATTCCTCATTCGCTAAGGATTCCAAAAATGAAAAAATCATTGATTTCGGCTGAGAAAAAACAGCAAAACCCTTCTTCCACTGGAACAAAGAAATAAAGAAGAAATAAAGTAAATTTTTTATTTATTCCCGTGGAAGATAGAGCACTTTTATGACACTTTTTATTCACGACAAACAAGACAAACAAAGAAAATAAGAAAATACGGCGCTGTCGCGGTTCGAACCACAGACCCCGACCCCTCCATAACACCACCTTAGACCACTGTGCTACGTAGCCTGTCGACATAAGATTTTATAAATTGCATATTTGACGTAAATTTATTTCCATCTGGCTTCCCACCGCATAAGATATTCATACGTGTTTGTAAGACATTCATTAAACTTCTTTTCTATTGCATCTAATCTTGCGTTATTTTTTTCAATAACTTGTCTGTATTCTTCATCATCTCCAGCAGTGTTTGGGTCTTCACGTTTAAAATATTCATTGTTAACCAATTTTTTATCTACAAATTTTATTAGTGTTTGATTCACTTCGTTATGATAACGGTCATATTCTTTCAATACGTAAGTGAAGACAAAATGCGTCGTACCTTCAATCTTAAAGCTTAAAGAACTTTCAACACAGTTTTGAGGGTCTGTCAGTGCGTCAATGAGATAGTATTCGAAGTCAGTCAATAATCTTTTTAAAGTCATTTCATACAGGATAAAATTTAATGTTGTGAAGAAATAGTGTTTATCTCAGAAAAAATAAAGTTAATTTTTATTTTTTCTAATTTTTTATTTTGTATGTAAAGACAGATATGTCAACATCAGAGAACACAACAACTGCTATCGTTCATGAAGTCATAAATGAAGAATACGAGTACATACAGTATAACAAACAGTTACGTCTCATTCGTTCAGTCAAAGATGATATGTACCAAATGCAAAGTATAATGAACGCTCTTCGTTCTACAAAGCAAGCATATCATTGGTTTGAAAACCAACAGACAAAAGAACTTTTAGAAGAATTTCCTCATATGATTGCTTCCCTCGGAAAACCGAGAGAAGAGATTCCGTATGAAAATCGCAAGAATTTGGCTCCTGGTTTGAAAGGTTATTATGTTCATAGACTTTTAGTAAATGCTGTAGCAATGTGGGCTTCACCTCGTTATGCTTGTTATATTTTCATGATGTTAGATGAACTATATAAAGCAGAACGTGAAGATATGGAAAAGAAACTTCAAGCAAAAGATGAAGTCATTGAATCCAAAGACAAAAGCATACAGAAAAGAATACCACGTTCGGTACCAAAAGGAAAGGAAAAGAACTATAAGTATATGATTTACGCTGAAGAGTTGGAGAAAGAAGAAGATAGAGATATGGTTATGTTGCATTTAGTGAGAAGAAACAACAAGAGCTTTTATGACTTAGCTAAGATATATAAATCTGACAGAAACCGGTTCTATCGTGAAAACTTACCGATTTCAATGACACCGAATGAGCAAATAAAGGAAATTGTCAAAAATACTCTTCCTCAAACACACTATGACATCAAAGGTTGCACAATACTTACATTCAAAGAAGACTTAACATTACTGAAAGAAAAGATAACAGAATATTTCGACAACTTCAAAGAGGAAGAATGAAAACTTACCGATTTCAATGAAAAACATTAACTTTTTGACGAAGTGAAGATTTGCACTTTGTCAAAATTTAATGAAAAACATTAACGTAAACATTAACGATAAAATTTATTTCCTGGACTGTTGTCAAAATGTCATGTTGTCATCATTTTTAAAAGAAGTTAATTAACCTGGTAGCACATGGTGACGTGGTGACACTTTCAGTTATTCAAAAATATATTTTTGCTTAAATAACTTCAGGGTCAATTTCTTCAACCATTTCACTTCCTTCGTCAATGTCAATAGAAGCTTCTTCAACCTTTGGTAAGAACTTTTGTATGACATCTTTGTTCGTTATTGTCTTCAGAGATGAAGGATAATATTTCACAGATGTTTCACCCTTCTTATATTCTTTCTGTTCGGAAAGATTCATAGCAATACTGAAGAAGTCAATATTAGAGTTCTTTATGACAGTATAATGAGTATCTTTGACATTCACGAAGAAACTCTTTTGTTTCAAAACTACTGCTAACTCTTGTGAAGTATAACGTTTGCGGTCAATGACGATAGCTAATGGTCTGACATACTGACCGAACTTAGATTCTTTCACAAACTTCTTGTTAAAGATAACATTAACATTTGAAGCATTATTGAACTCATTCTTGATGGCAGTAGCGAGAGCATTGTATGAAAAGAACTTGCAATCTTGCATGTGTTTCATTAAAATAAAAATATTAAATTATTTTTCAAAATAACTTTAAAAAATCTAATCTAATTTTTTCAAAAAATATTTTTTTATTTCCTACTAAAGATGTATCGGAAGTTGTCTAAGTTAGAACACTCGGAAATAAAACAACTTCTTACAGAAGCTAATATAGATGTTGCAAAGCATTACGCAACAAACAAAAAAGCACTCGCTGACATCCTCAATGACTACAATGGTGAAATAACTTATGATAGAATTCATGAGTTCATAAAGCCGCAACGCGGCGAGGACGAAGTCCATGCAAGAGCATTTCCTTTAAATGACGTTGCTATTGACTTATATCATAGACGTTCGGTACCTCATGAAGTAAGGCGTGAGATGTTTGACATAACAAATGCAAACGTTGGTGAAACACGAAAGAGAGACGACACACTGAAACAACAGAGAAGAGAGATGTTTAAAAGTGCTAGAGAACAAGTTCGCAAAGCTAATAATGTCATTCGTTCCATTGACGACAAACCAAAAGAAGGTGAGAGATGGTTAAAGAAAGATGAAGAGAATAGGAAGAGAAATGTGAAGTCAGGCAATAGACTCATTGACTTTAACATCGAAGCTTTAGATGAACCAAACAGAGACTACTTACACAAACATTTCGGTAAGGTTTTCATGAGACTCTTAGAGAAAATTAAAATAAACTCACAACAGAGATGGATGGTATGTTATAAACTTGGTGGAAAGTATGAATGTTCTACGTTAAACCTCAATAATATTGGAACATTACTACATCAGCTCTTGAAGGAGAACTTTATATCAGAGATAGAAGCAAATGCTGCAGGTATTGTTGAAATGCACTATGACTTCTTCTTGACAAACATAAAGAATCTTACTGAAATAAAGATGTATGATTTAACAGAATATGAAGGCTTAACGATGTCAGATGTTAAGAAAGGAAAGCCACAGAAGCGACCATATAGAGATGAAAGCACACTGACAAATGACCAGAAAGCCATTTTGGAAGCTCTTAAGCAAACAGGAAACCCAGCACTTATAGAAAGCTTTTGGAAAGATAATGGTGAAAAGAAGTTTTATAAGAAGAGAAGCGGTCAGTTCTGGAAGTATCTTTGCACATTACCTATAAATCTTGAACGCTACCAAATCTTCAATGAACTGAACAAAAGAACTGCAACACTTATGACAGAGGACAATTGTTTCGTTTATGCTTGCATTCAGGCTGGAGTAAATGAAGAAACTATTGACCACATGAGAGAAGTCATTCGTGTTAGAGACTTTCCTCAAAGTAAAGTACAAGAAATTTCTGACGCAACAGGTATAGCATTTAATGTTACCATTGGTTATTTCAATGACTCAAGACATAATGAAATAAAGAGATACATACCAAAAGAATGTAAAATGTTCGAACTATTGACTTACTTCTTGTTGAAGACCACTACATGCTAAATGAAAGACTTCCAATGACAACATATTTCATTCGCAACTATATAGAAATCTTGAAGGAGTGTGGTGGAATGAACATTGAAAAACAGATGAAAATATATACAATGAGAGATGGTAAATACATTGTTCGCATGGATAGAACTACACCACTATGGGATGTTTGAAAACATTGTGGGAGTGCAAATATTTCGAACCTATTTCTTATGGAGAACTTTTCACATATACTACTGACTTATATAAACAGAACCTTGCACCATTTAAAGATTTGACATATGCTCCAAAGTATTGTGTACAACTGAAGAAGAAAGCAGAGTCAAAAGAAGTAAATAAAAATAAGTGCAAGTTCATTCCTGAGCACGTTTTCTTTGCTGACTTTGAGTGTAGTACCGATGGCTTTCATAAAGCTTTTAACATCTGTTATGACAGTGAAGATGATTCAGTGAGTGAAAGCATATGGGGTCAAAACTGTGCAACAGAATTTTTGGAGCGACTTCCTGACAAGAGTTTAATATATTTCCATAACCTCAGCTATGATATAAACTTCATCTTAAGACACATGACAGAAGTGAAAGGAACTCCCATCATTAAAGGTTCACGAACAATGCAAATAACTGGCTTATATAAAGGACGGGCAATTATTATAAAAGACTCTTACAGTGTTATAAATAAGAAGCTTAAACTATTTCCTGCTATGTTTAACTTACAAACAGGACCGAAAGAAGTATTTCCATACAACTACTACAGCAGTACTTTGTTAGCAAATGACAACAGAACTGGTGTCATTTCTGAAGCATGTAAGTTTATCCAGGATGCAGATACATTCATGAAGAACATAGATTCCATCAAAGGTTGCAGAATAGATGAGAACCACTTCGACTTAGAAAAGTATAGCACATTTTATTGCAAACAAGATGTAAGAATTTTAAGAGAAGGTTTTGTTAAGTTCCGCAATGACATATTGAAAGAATTTGATTTAAACGTTTATGACTACGTTAGTATTTGTTCAATTGCTAACAAATTATTTGAGAACAGAGTGTACTTCCCGAATGGAAATCTTTATGACCTCTCAAATAAACCAAGAGAATTTATTTCACGCTGTATTCAAGGTGGAAGATGTATGTTGTCAGATAACATTAAACAAAAGAGTAAAGAGAAACTCATTGCTGATTTCGACGCTGTTTCATTATATCCATCAGCTATAGCAAGACTTTATACTTTAGAAGGAATTCCAAAGGTTATGAAGAAAGAAATGTTAAGCAAAGAGTATCTCATGAGACATTTATTCGATGACGACCAAAAGGAACCCATTGGTGAAAAGTTTATGTCCGGCTTCTTTGTTCTCATTAAGATAAAAGAGATTGGTATACACAGACACTTTCCTTTAATAGTTTGTGACCCTGAACTAAATCCAGAACTTAACGTTCCCAGAAGTTCAAACACTTGCTGTTTAATGTATGTTGACCATATAACATTACAAGACCTCATAAAATATCAAGGTGTCAAATGTGAAGTGTTGCAAGGATACTATTACGATGGAAACAGAGATATAAGAATAAGAGATGAAGTAAAGAAGTTGTTTGAGTTAAGGTTAAAGTATAAGAAAGAAGGAAATCCTTTGCAAGAAAATATAGGGTGTCCAAAGGTGTGTTTAGCACAAACCTGAATACTGCGAATAGAAATAAACAAGTTACATATATATAAAGTTTATTTAAATATAATCACCATTGGATTCAATCACGCGTTCGCAGCGATCGATCCAGGCTTGAAAGACACGCTTTAAATCATCATGAGAAAAATTGCTCAAATTGCTCTCTTACAAAATTTTCAAGATCATCTGGACTCGCGAATTCGCGTCCTTCAGCTCTCTTTTTTAGCGTGCCGAATAAATAAAAGTCAGAGGGTGCAATATCAGGTGAATAAATTGGGTTTGGAACAACTTTGACATTGTTTTCCAACAAGTAATTCATTACCTTATGACTTTTGTGAACTCTTGAATTATCAAAATGAATTGCAAACTTTTGTTTTTGTTGTTTGGATTTCTCAAACTCATCAGAATTGATAATTTGAGTAAGAACATTGTCAATTAGATACTGAGCATTCATCGTATTAGGTTTTTGAAGAATATCAATTGCGATGATGCCATTCACGCCCAAAAAACCGACAACATCATCATTGGTGTGTCAATTTTTTTCTTCGGGAATGTTTGCGGATTTTCATCCTTCGGGATCCACATGATTTTGGCTTCTGTTGCATATTGAAACCAAGACTCGTCCCCTGTTACTAAAAAGCGAAACTTCTTGGATTGATACGCACCCAATATAGAGAGGAGCTCTTTCGAAGATTGGACTCTAGATTTTTTTTGAACTGAATTAAGGTTGTGCGGAACCCAACGTGTATACGCTAGTTTGTAGTTCAAATAATTGTGCAGATAATAACTGACTGTTGTACGTGGTATCTGTGTCATCTCCTCTATCCTTCTGAGTGATGCTCTTGGGTCTTCATCTAGCGCTTGAAGAATTGCTTTGATTTTTCTTTGATCCGGCGATTTTTTGTCAATTTTATGATGGGCGCCTTTTTGTTCATGAAGTGATACATCCTAACATGATACGTTACAGTGGAATAGCTAGGAGCATCCATACCGAAGCATTTTACCAATGTCTCGTAGATTTTTTTACAGTCTTTGCATTTTTTTGCAAGAGCGAGGATGTTTTCTTTATGATTCATTAAAAAAATGAAAAAAATCCCGCCAAAATTTCCCGCGAAACCGCCTCTTGTCTCAAAATTCATTTTATATCCCGGCATGGCGCCAAAATACAACATACTCATCATATACATATATTCATATTTTTTATTATATATTTATAATCAGCATATATCTCCTTTAATAGTCTCATATAGAGCGCTGTGCTAAACGCACCTTTGGACACCCTATATAAAGCTCATTCTGAACAGTATTTATGGCAAAACTATTCTATCTCCTATTGAGTCAAAAATAACCATAGTAAATGACAAAGATGCTATAAGATATGCTATCAGAAACTACAACCATATAGTGAAGTTCGAAGGTTTGGATGGCTCAGATAAAACTATTTTCAAGCTAACGAAAAGCATTTGCAGACACTTTAACTTCTGTCCACTTGGTGTTAACATTCTGTCTATGTCGAAGAGAATAATGAACGAAGTATTCTGTACTGCAGAAGATATGGGACTTCAAATATTTTACCAGGACTGTGATAGCATGCATATTTTCAATGAAGACATACCAAAGCTTGCAGCAGAGTTTAAGAAGAGATACGGTAGAGAACTTATTGGTAAAACATTAGGTCAGTTCCATTCTGACTTCGCAGAAATAACACCTGGAAAACAAAGTTTAGCATACAAGTCAATATTTTGTGGAAAGAAGACTTACATAGACTTACTCACTAACGATTTAAATGAAGTTGCATTCCATGCACGTTGCAAAGGTGTCAAACAAGACGTCCTTGCTTTAACAGCAAATGAAATGTTTCCTGAAGCTATACAATGCTATTACAATGAAGATAAGAACATTCACATACCTGTTGGAACATATGACAAAGACTCTGAGTTCAGTTTAATGAAACTTTACAAAGCACTTTATGACGGTCAAGAGATTGGATTTGACTTATGTAAGTCTTCTAGTCCTTGCTTTGCTGAAAAGTTTAACTTCTCAATAACGACTAAAACAAGCTTTATTCGTAAGTTGAAGTTCTGAGGTCATTTATTTTTGTCAGCAGTGAGACCATTCATGATAAAAATAAGCCGCTAGCGGCAAGGGCGAAGCCCATGAGGTCATATATTTTTGTCATTTATGTATAACCATTGTCTCTCTTAAACTTTGCAATAGACAGCTTTGTTCTTCTTCCTTCTACATCTGTAATGTTTATATAATCTTTGCTATACTGTCTTAAGACATTCATTCGTCTGTATTGAGTTCCCATGAAATAGTAAAAGACATCTTCACTTGGGACATAGTAGTAATTTTCTAGAGTAAATTTAGAGTATTGTATAATTTCAACAGCATCTTCAGGAAGAGTGTCTACAATGTCAAACCAATAGCCATTCGAACCAGAAATATTTCTCATGTTTTGTCTTCTCGACACCCACCTTAAGTTTGAGATATGAAAGTCTCCTCTGTCTCTGTTTATATGGTCTACTTCTCGAAGTCCTTCAGGATTCGGTATAAATTGATTTGCAACAATTTTATGTTTAAAGAGTTTATGTTTGTTTAAATAAACACAAATATAACCATCACCGTTGTCAAACTCACTTACAACTCTTTTGTTACTTATGCGCCTAATTGGATATGGGTACTCTGAAAAGATTTCATAGTCATTGTCATGTTCGAGTGTTTGCCAATGTCCTTCACCTTCCATGCCTTTCACTCAAATAAAAATTTTCAGAAAAAATAAAACTAGCGTAGATTTTATAAAACTGCGATGGTAGAGTTTAAGAGTTGTGCTTCAATGTAGAGACAGTCCTTCCCATCTGGAGGTAAGAACACTGGGCAGTTATGGTCATGAGTGGAGAACATGTCTATCCAAAACTCACGATTGAAGCCAGTTAATTTATAGTATTTAGGATTTGACAGTGGTGAAGTTCTTGTATGACCAATGAACTCATTTTCAACTCCCTTACTTAAGTTTGAATATAATATAGCTTGCTTTCTATCCCAAATGCCGGGTGTTACAATCTTTGAAAATTCATTTTTCCTCGGAAGCATTGCATCATAATTGAAAACATTCTTGAAATCATCATTTGGTTCAGAGATTTGAAACCTTATACGTAATGGATTTTCTTTCTTTTTAGCTACTTCATTGAATGGTGAATATATAACAAACTGACAGTCATGAGTTCCATCTTCATTTTCATTAAATTCATAATGAAAGTCTATAAGTTGTGGCTGACTACCTTCTTCTTTCAGTTGTGCAAGAAACTCACGTAAAGGCTGTAAAGTTTGTACTTCAATGTTAAACTTTTTCTCGGACATTTCATTAAATGAAATCATACATTGTTGCAATGTTGTATCGTCTTTAAAGTATTTGTATATGTGAATGTTTTGGGCGCTTAAAGACTGTTCGTCATTTTCTATCTCGACTTGAAGTATAAAGTCAACCTTTCTGAAAGCACGTGTTATATACATAGATGTTATGCCAATGTACTTCTCTTCATTTATGTTCACAATCCAGTCTGTTGGAAACTTAAACGTTACTCTGTTCCCCTTTATTTTGACGTCAGGGTTTTCACTACTGAACGCAACAGATAAAGGTATTTGTCTATACATTTAATTCGGATAAAAATAAACCATTTACTCTTTCTTTGCTTCAGCTTCTTTAGCTTTTGCTTCAGCTTCTTCTCTAGCTTTTTCGCCAGTAGTCTTGGGTTCTTTTGTCTTCCAGCAGCTAATGCAGCAAGTTGTTTTTCACTAAGTTTTCTCTTTGGTCTCTCTGGCTTTTGTTCTTGTTTTTGTTCCTTCAGTTCGGATAAAATTTGCTCACGAATTTCTTTCTTCAATGCTTCAACATCTATGACCCCTTGGGTCTTGTCCGTAGGGCTTGTCTGAGTCATTTGACTGCAGATAAAAAACAAAATTAAAACTTTAACCGATGTAAAATGAGCTTGTCAAAATCAGAGCGAGAGTCTATTATATTAAATGACGCAAGAGGAATACAACATCCTTTCTATTACGTAAGTCAGAGTAAAGATGGTAAAATATACGTAAGAAAAAGAAAGGTTCCATTAGCGAATGCAGAAAGCGACAACATTAAGGTGCATGGCAAGGGTGAAGCCACGAAGCCCATATAAAACCTTCTGTTCAAACTGAAAAGTCAATAGAACCAGAAGAAAAGAAGCCAGATGTACTTTCAATAACGAACCAAGAGCTTATTGCAAAGTTCGTGAATTTCATTGAAAAACAAACCGAGTCAAAGAACCCTGACCCCAGTGAAAGAAGTTGAGACAAAAGAGAATGTACAGTTCATTGAAAATGTCAAGAAACAACTTCCACCACGAATGCCAAGAAGAAGAGTGAGAATAATGAAGTAAATAGATATTTTTATCTGAAGTAAATACATGCAGAACGAACAGTTAAACGAATTTACTCCAGCAGAGCATATTCATCAGATTCGCTCATATTTCGATATCATAGACAATGCAGTTCAAATTGGTGACACTAATAGAAAATATTCTGACGCAAAGATTCCATCACAACCTGGAACTGCTAAAGATAACACATGGGTAACATTCAATCTCTCACCTCCTGGTGAAAATATGTTGGACCTTTACAATACATTCATTACGTATAAAATGGAAGGTCAATTTATTGTAGATAAAGAAATTGGTTCAGGTTCCAATAAAACAAACCCACCAGGATTTTGGATTGGTTTCGATGACGCTTTCTATGCAGTTGCTGGATATCAAATCCTTGCAAATGGTCGTATCGTATATTCTCAAGACAACGCAAGAGAAGAAGCATATATAACTTCAAACTCACAAACTACCGAACAAATAAAGAAAGTAGATGTTTTCTCAAAGACTCGACATGAAGATGTATGGAGTCATTCGGGAACATGCAGAACAGGACAAATTGTTAGTGGTCCAATTACAGCAGGAAAATCATTTGATTTTAAGCTTCGTTTAAGAATTCCTGTTAGAAGATTCCTTCCATTAGAAGCTATTCGATTTATTCCAGCTTTTGCAGGAAACATTCAGCTTAAAGTAAAGTTCAGTAGCGACGCCTTACAATGCACATCTATATCTGTAAATGATATCATTGCTTTCAATCCAACTCTTAAAGTTGCATTTGCTTCAGATTCAAATCCACCGACAAATAAATTTGTTCCATGGAATGAACCATTCACTATGATAACGAAGGCAGTAGAAGCTAGTGGAACAGTTACTATTACAACTGTAACCCAGCAACTATTTCGAACAAAGATGGATTTTAATGAATGTTTCATTCATCCAAAGTCATTCTCTTTAGACCCTAACATTTATACAGAACTTGTAGAACATTATACAACACAGAGGCTTTATGTTTTCCTGTTAAAGTTATGGATTGGATTCCTATGGACGGTTCATTCTCAAAGAATACAGATAGTTCAAGTGCAACATTTACAGCAGCTTATACGCCTATTAATGTTAAAAGTATTTGGGCACTATTTAGAAAGAAAGACAACTATTATGTTAATTTTGAGAACCCTAAGTTTAAATATCTTCAGCTTTCCATGGGAGCTTATGGAAATATGCCTGCAGAACCTGAAAAATCATATGGACCTGTATTTTATGAAATGGTTGCGAACGCTTGCAATACAAACAATGATATGATAGGATTTAATGAAGATGTTATGAGGTCATTGGTGGATGATGGTAGTGTGGAACATAAATGGGATAGCTATGACAACACACATTTCTTATGTGGTTTTCCAACAGAAGTGGACTTTTGCTTCCAGCAAGGTCAAACTTCAACAGCTCCAATAACATACAAATTGTCTGTTAAAGGACCTATTGAACTAGCAACTGAAAATGTACCAAAGCCACTTATTGGATTTATGAGGGATTGTTGCTTTGCCATTCAGGTGCGTGCTAATGGCATCCCAATAATAAGATTAGATGACTATAACTTAGCCGCGGACGACAGTGAGGAATAAAGGATGAACGTTTATTTTTAAAGCTTATAAATGAGTTCTTCATCAAGCTCTCGTGAACCTTCACCATCTATGAAACAAACTTTACCAAACGATTATGGAGCACCTATTGAATATTTCTTACGAGCTGCACAATGGCAAAGAGCAGTCTCACCAAGGTTAGGTGTTCCACCAGCTCCTGTCAAAAATAGCATTTGGTCAAGTCCTTATATAAGATATGGTCTCCCACTAGGTTTGATAGCTACAGCAGGAGCAGTTATGATGTTGAAAAGAAATAAAGCAAATGTTGTAAATAATACTGAAGTAGCTGAAGTTAAACAAACTCCAACACCTTCACAAGCAAAACCTTCAATGACTCCTGAACCTATGGAAGTACAAACTCCTGTTCAAAAGTCAACTCCTAAACCGACTCCAACATTTAAACTAGAACCTACTCCTCAAATAAATCGTAAAACTCCTGCGTTTCCTTACTGAAAAAATAACGTTATTTTTATTTAATATTAAAATTTTTATTTGATTGAAATGACGACTAAAGTCACTGAAGCAATGAAACAAAAGTTTTTGGTAGAATACATTAAATCAGGAACTATTCCAGAAGGTTTTTACATTCATACTATGAAGGATGGTAGAGTTCAGTTTAGAAAGATAAAGCAACCATTAGATAAAGAAGGAATTTTGAGAAAGATTAAACTTCATGAGGACAACATTGCTAAACTTAGGAAGAAGTTAGAAGAGTTGGAGAAAGGAAGAGAGTTATAAAGCAATGAATTCAAGTGGGTGAAAAAAGAGGTGAGATCTCACCACTTCACCTAAATTTATTTTTGTGCTATGTTTTCATACGTGTGAAGGTAGTGATATCATTTATTTTTAAGTTTATTTTTAAGTTTATTTTTATGTAAATGACGAAAACTATTGAGATAACAAACTACAACCGTCATGAGTTCAAGAATTTGTTCTTCGTTCCTCGTGAAAATACATTCTATCAGATACGAGGGAGAAAGGGTAAAGTTAGTTTGAGCGTTTATGACAACAAACATAATGGGAGATATATAAAAGCAATAGATACAAACGGTAAGCGTGTTTCATTAGCTTTGTCAAAACTTACTAACATTTATTTTGACAGTGACTTTGACTCTGACGATTGGAGCGACAGCAGCGATACTGAAGAATATGAACTATTGTGTGAAGCACAGCAATGGGAAGCGCTGCAATACTTTTGTAAATGAGAACATTAGTGGGAACGTTAGTGAGAACGTTTATTTTTTCATTAGTGAAGTCGTTAGTGAAAACATTAGTGAGGTGAAGTGGGTGGCGGTTTTGTAAATATTTAAGGTTAAGTTAGTGTTGTCGTTTGTGTTGTAAAATATACGTCAGCGGTTTTGTAAAGTGTCAAACCGTTATCTTGGGTAAGGTGGAACGCAGTGCCGCCGTACCCAAGATAACCATACTAACTTAAAATTAGTTCGCAAAGCTAACGATGTCCTTCGTTCCATTGACGACAAACCAAAAGAAGGTGAGAGATGGTTAAAGAAAGATGAAGAGAATAGGAAGAGAAATGTGAAGTCAGGCAATAGACTCATTGACTTTAATATCGAAGCTTTAGATGAACCAAACAGAGACTACTTACACAAACATTTCGGTAAGGTTTTCATGAGACTCTTAGAGAAAATTAAAATAAACTCACAACAGAGATGGATGGTATGTTATAAACTTGGTGGAAAGTATGAATGTTCTACGTTAAACCTCAATAATATTGGAACATTACTACATCAGCTCTTGAAGGAGAACTTTATATCAGAGATAGAAGCAAATGCTGCAGGTATTGTTGAAATGCACTATGACTTCTTCTTGACAAACATAAAGAATCTTACTGAAATAAAGATGTATGATTTAACAGAATATGAAGGCTTAACGATGTCAGATGTTAAGAAAGGAAAGCCACAGAAGCGACCATATAGAGATGAAAGCACACTGACAAATGACCAGAAAGCCATTTTGGAAGCTCTTAAGCAAACAGGAAACCCAGCACTTATAGAAAGCTTTTGGAAAGATAATGGTGAAAAGAAGTTTTATAAGAAGAGAAGCGGTCAGTTCTGGAAGTATCTTTGCACATTACCTATAAATCTTGAACGCTACCAAATCTTCAATGAACTGAACAAAAGAACTGCAACACTTATGACAGAGGACAATTGTTTCGTTTATGCTTGCATTCAGGCTGGAGTAAATGAAGAAACTATTGACCACATGAGAGAAGTCATTCGTGTTAGAGACTTTCCTCAAAGTAAAGTACAAGAAATTTCTGACGCAACAGGTATAGCATTTAATGTTACCATTGGTTATTTCA